TCTTAGAAAGCATCACAAGTAAAATTAATCATGTTTATAAACATGAGCACCCCTACTTCCCGCATCCCTGAAGAGCACATAAAACGTTTGGCAATATAGTCTCTTTATAGATTTTTTTAAATTCTTTTATTATTTTATTGATAATTTTTAGTTTTGAATGATTTATATTTATAATCGACTTTTCTCTCACGTTATGCAAAGTATTGGGTATAATTTTGAGTGAAAAAAGAAGGCAGCATCATTATTCTGAATGCTTTTTGGAATAGCCTTCATGTCTGGAGTGCTTTTGATGCTTTAAAATGCTGCCTACATAATGGGTCACTAGGTTTTCCAACAGAAATGTGTGTGTGTGTGTATGTGTGTATGTGCCATGTTTTTTGCATTCCACTTGCGTCTGTGTCTTTTGCAGCTTCTCGTACATAATGTGGTGTAGTCTGTGCTAGTTCAAATTTTAAAAATGCTTCTACAAAAAAAGTTTCATCTGCAGATATGGCCTTGTTTAGGGATCTGTGCCTTTGTGCATATGGATATCTGACTAATTTACAGAGAAAAGTAGGTCCAGGAAAAATCTTTAGATGGAAAAATCTCCATAAGTTATTTGTGAATTTTCCTTTTTTCTACATTTCACATGTATGTAGTTAGGCTTTATCTTGAATTTTAGTAGTTTTATTGGATTTTTTCATAACCTCAGGTTAGCGCATATAGCCTCACCTTCCTGTAGGTTTGGCTCTGACAGGAGCTGTTTGTGGAAGAAACGGTAATAGCAGGGCCTGGGGACAGATGAGTCTCTACCTGTGGCTCCCTCACTGAGGCATGAGCCACAGATCACCCAATCACATGCTCACAAAGTCATGTGACCACAGAGCAGCAGCCAATCAGATGGCCCTGTAATCTGATGGGGGCATCTCAGGAGCTAGTCACCTCAGAGCTCCGATTGGCCGTAATTGAGGAAGTGTTGCTGTTGCTGTAGTGAGGGTGGAGAGTGAGTCATTGCTACGACTAATTTTAGCTGCACAGCACAGTCAGCGGGTGGTTTGGGTTATTTTCCCACATTGTTTTAATGCCTCTGGCTTAGTTGGGGACACTTCATTTCCAGCGATATCGTTGACTTGATTGCAAATGATTGCAAAGATACTATTTAAACTGA